TTTCACTAGTTATTATCAGTAGAAAACAAAAACTCTGAAAAAATAAAATACTGTCTCTTGTATATATTTATATTTGAGTATTGTTTGGTTGTTTTTAAGGATTGTGATTATTTGTATAAAGAAAGGCCTAAACATAGAAAAGCTTTTTATTCATCTTCTAATGGCCAAGCTATTTGACAAATACCTTGCAATGGGTATTAGACCTTCTTGAGTGGAGCTATTACTGCCTACCCGAAGAATCATTACTGGAACTTTGCTACTCAATAGCAGTCCTTAGGATTATATTTCCCCTTCCAAAAAAATATAATCTGCTAGTCAAAGTTTCTTGAAAGAAAAAAAATTTCCTAAAAAGGCAATTTTCACGAAAGGAGTTATTTGTGGAAAAGAGTTTTTTTTTTTTTTTGTCAATCAATTTTTTTATAGTAATACAAAAACATGTATAATTATATTTTTAATTTATAAATAATTTTGAATTTAATATTTTTTTAATTATAATTTTATAATTTTTTTTAGATTTTTAATAATTGCAATTATCAAATATATTTTTAAGGTTTTAATAATAAAAAATAAAAGTTTAAATTAGAATAATTATTTTTTTAATTGTAATTACTTTTTTAATAGCTTTAATAACAGTTTTGTAAAATTTTAAAAGGTTTATATTTTGTGTAAAATACAATAGTTTAAGAATATTATTGTTTATGACTTTTATAAATTTATTTTAAAAATATTTTCAAGTTAAAAAATTGTTTATAAAGTTAACTTTTGAAAGAAATCTTATAGATTGTTTAAAAATTTGATTTTTTAATAAAATAAAAATTGTAAAAATATTGAAATTGTAAAAAGTCTTTAGATTATTAGCTATTTTACTTGTATTTTTTATTAGCTATAATTAAAATAACTTTTGAAAGACTAATTTTATTTGATTAAAAATGTTATCGGGCTATCAAAAAGATTAGAAAGTTTTTGCTAAATAATTTTGCATGTTATATAAAATTTTTGATATTAATTTTTTAAAAAAAGGATTTAGGAAAAAGTTAAAATTGTATTATAAAAGTTAAACAACTTGTCAATATTTAAGTAATAAAAATTTAATGATCTGAGAAAGGTTATAAAGAATATTTTGTTAATAATTGTTTTGGTTTTTTTTTTGATAATTATTGTAATATAATTCAAGTTATTAGCTTTATAGTAATTAAGATAAAACATCTTTTGAATTTTTTTGTATTCTAGTTGATATTGATCTTTAATAAAATTTTTTTTTGCAAATATTTTGAATAAGTCATGATTCTTGTGTTTAATTTTTGAGAATATGTCTTTAGAAGATGTTCTGGAAAAACCTTAGGCTTATATGACAAATATTTTGTATTGATTAAGTTTTTTCGTAAAGTTCTATGATTTGTCTTGCTCACATGAAGGTATTATGTTTTTTATATTAGTTGAAAAAGAAGATGCGTAGTTGTGAGTGTCTCTAGCATTTTGTTGATTTAACCCAGGACGTAGGAGGGATTCAAATCTCAATTGATTGACTAGGAGAAGGGTGCTCATGTTACTGAAGTAGCAAATATATAACTCGTGGAATTGCCTTACACATGAAAATACGGAACGTCATTTGACTTAATGCAGAAGACGTCACCGTACCCACCACCAACTTATGAAGTGCCATCAATTCTAAGCACGAGTCATCGTGAATCCTCCGTCAGTCAAAGGGATCATTCCACGTTGCCCACCCGAAAAGTTCCTAGTAGAAGGGACGAGAATTGTAATCGAGATAACGCAAATAATGCCAGCTCCGCCGATGTAAATAATACAGGTGGAGATTCAGGCGATAATGATTTTAACAAATATTGCCTAACCCGAAGAATGTCTGGATCGCAAAGTGACAGTTGCTAGCATTCCCAATGTAGGAAGGAGTAGTCAATCACTGGAACCTATAAATGAGGAGAGTTAAATTTCGTTATAAAAAAATAAAGTTCTACTATTACTACAACGATAACGAATGTAGTGAGCTATTCGGGATTTGACGTTTATAAATATTTTATCACGGCTGTATAACTAAAGAAAAATATCATATCAATCGCTAATTATTATTATTATTATTCTTGTCAAAAGTGATCTCTGTTTCAATTTAGAACTAATACAAGCAAAAAACAAAAGATAATTGATAGAGGGAAATCTCTCAATCTAAAAAAATTCTCCGGCAAAACCTAGATTTTCTCACGAGATTTGCATTGCAGAATCGCGCAATGAAAGCACAAATCGTAAAGTCCTTAAAAAGTATCATGACTTTGGGGAAGCACTATCGTTATGTTTTGATTATTCAAAAAACAATCATTTGGAGATATGTTGAGCAGAGTACTTGTGAATGATAAGGTTCGGATTTGTCTCTCACGAAAGAAGCATTTCGAAAAAGAACGGAGAGAGCTAGAAAAATATATAGTTTGTTTAGTAGTCTCGCGAAAGATGATAAGGGTAAGAAAAGAATCGATTGGATTAGACTTTTTCTGCATCAGCAATTGCAAGACTAACAGTGGATAATACAAATGCGTTGTGGCAAATACAGTATCTTGAAAAACAGTGACTATAATACTGCACCTGTGACATTGGGTCACGCCCGCAGACACGTCTGGAAAATTTGTCATAATAAATGTTGGTTAATATCAAAACCAGTATCTAACCAATATGGAAAATTACTTAAACGAAGAATCAAACTCTGTTTATGATTATCACCATGTTTCGCGTAGCATCTCAA